CTAGCCAATATGGATCATATGTCTTTGAAAACTTAAGGATCATGTTACGTTTTGTGGGGAGAGGGTAAGGGAGCAGATGGACCCAAAAGGCAGAACAAAAAAGTGTAATTTAATGAATAAGGTAGGCAAACCAAGCAAACATACAAAATCCAAAATAACAGCAACTCAAAATGCTCTTCAGCAAAAACAGGGGAAACACTTTGAAACACTAGAGACTTATTGGAAACGACGAGTGGTGGCACAACACATGGGAAGACATGGTATGGCATCACAACAACGAACTGACAAAGACCCAGGGAAGCACAAAGAATTAAATACACTGAACTAATGAGAAATTAGAGACAGGTGGCACAGGACAAATATGTGAACCTGACGTGGGAAAGAAGTCCAGGGGGAAAACACATAAGGAGCAGAGACTACAAATTAAAACAGGAAACAGAGATGTACACAGAGGAACACTGAAAGGGACACAGGGTGAAGCACTTGGTGAAACACAGAGGGGAACACAGGAGAGGGAATCAGAAATGAACAAAGTGGGACAAAGAAGAGGGACACAGAGTGAGACACAGAAAGGAGCGGAGTGGGACACAGGAGAGGGACACAGGGAGCAAAACCTATAACATGAATCCAAACGTAAGAAAAATACAATCCATACTTGAAATGAAAACTCTCTTACATGAAACCAGAAACACCGGACAGATAATCTTCGTTTGGGGTGTGGATATTCATGATGGTCAAATCGGCCCCACCTATTGTCCCAGTGACTACTATATCTGCCCTGCTTGTCCTTTACTTCCCTTTGTACAACAAAACTTACTGTACGACTAATCAAAATAGCTACCCCTCTTTTTCTGCTATTCTTAAAGGTTCAGTGTGTAAGATTTAGGTAAAAGGAAAATTTGAAGAAATTGAATATAAAATAATACTAGTGATGTTTTCACTGGTGTGTTTCATCTAAATTGTATGAATTGTTGTTTTCTTTACCATAGAATGGGCCCTTTTATATTTAAAAACTTTATATTTGCATGGAGGGGGGTCCTCTCTGTGGAGGCCACCATGTTATTTACTGTCGTCCAAACTGGACAAGAGTTTTCATGACAACTGAAGTTCACCACAGGTTCTCTCTCATGTTGGGAAAGGGAGGGGGAGATGAGCAGTATTCAGCTGCAACATGACACTTCACCTCTAGATGTCACTAAATTCTACATTGAACCTTTAAATTATTGTGTAGCCTCAGTATTGAAATTTTTTCAGATTACCCTTTTTCCTTTTTACGGGGTGATTAATCCCCTTCACATTATAACTAACGATCCCTAGATAGATAGATAAAGTAATATTAATCCAGTGTATTATTTCTATCTAGCCTCCTTAGAATCTCTTCCTCAGGCAAAGACATCTCTCTGAAACCTCTCTTTCATATTAAAATCACAATTGTGTGCAGATTTAACAAACGTGTCAAGGATATAAGAACTATTAACAAACAGAATTAGAACATCAAAAGCCCACCTGGTTGCAAAGTTGCTCCCAACCCCTGCTGTATTGTAGGCAGAGAGTTCTCTCTGGGGAACATGCACTGAGTGCCATCCAAACCATAAACCAAAGAGAAAAAGAGATCCCTTGGTGAGGTTGTAGCCCTGTCTTGGGTCTTATGTAGTAAAAAAGAAAAAAAAAACTCCCCATACCTCTTATTCACTCATAAATGAAATCATAGCAATTATTCAGCGCAATCAGCTGTTTCAAGTGTCGTATAACATTTTGTTATTATTACAGGTGAAAAGTTACACTAAAACACGAAACCTTGTTACCTGAGCATATTTACTGTCACCTCAGTCCTATAAAAGTCAGTAAATCTGTATCTGTCAGAGACACTTCTCCTTTTCTCCTCTGGTTCTCCTATCTCTGCCATGACTCCCTGGAGAGCTCCCGCTCCATCTTCTCTCTCTCGCTCAACTGCACGGAGATACTTAGCTCCCAAAGTGTCTGCAGTGCCTCGATCAGAGTTGGGAATGTTTTAACTCCAGTCTTTAGGTTCAACTGTACTGGGAAGCAACATCTGGCCTGGATCCCTTTCTCCTTCAGCTGCTTAATTACTGCACGGACCTGCCCCCTTTTCATTTGTACCTCTGCCAAGTATTCCTGGTCTAAGTATATTACTTTTCTTTGGAACTTGACTTGTTTCTGTGCCCAGGCTTGTTGTAATACCATTTCCTTCACTGTGTAGTTCAGAAACCTTACAATAATGGAGCATGGTGGTGCAGAGTTGACTGGCTTAAGACTCATAGATCTGTGAGCCCTGTAGATTCATCTCCTGCGGCATCTGCAGCTTGGTTTTTAAATTAGTTGTTTCACAAAACCTACCATGTCGTTATTCTCGTTTTCTTTGGGGACTTGATAGATTTTCAATTTATTACGGAGCATACACTTCTGCATGTCATCACACAAACTGGCTAATGTCTTCAGTGGCACTGACTCTAGCCTCTGCATCCGCTGTTCTCTGCTCCAGGTCTCCCTTTCGCTGTTTCAGGTTATTCACTGACTCCTCCAGCCTAGACAACGAGGCCTTTGTGTCTCTTGATGTTCTTTTCTTAGTTCTCTCAGCTCTCGGGAGAATCTCTTCCATAGTTTTCATGTCTTAGTTGCTAGCTGTCTCGGGTAGGCCGAGTGGCAGTCCTTTCTTTCCTTGGATTTTTCCTGCGGTTCTTGTTTTTTCCCTGTTTCTTGCACTTCTAACCAAGCTCATAGTTACTCCTTTGTTACTCCTTAAGTTATTCCAGATGAATTTACGTTTTCAAACTTTGCTAAAAAGTAATCACGCTTGATTTTGAGGGAGCGATCACCCGACACATGTCTCAGAGCATGGCGTCACCGGAAGTCCAAATTTAAGTATTTTAATGTGGTCTGGAACGTCTGTTTAAAAATGCCTCAATAGCGCCCCATACATCAATCAATCCATCAAATTTATTTATATAGCATGGTATCACAACAAACAGTTGTTGCAGGGTGCTGCACTTTTGCCTAGAGTAATGAAAATAAACAAAAGTGTATCATGCGCAGACGTACAAAAAATCTTCTTGACACACTTAGCCACACTCAACAGAAAGTCGAATATTTTGGATTGAAAATTAAATTTGACATGATTTTTTGCTTTTTGACACCCGCTTAATATGATCATATTTGATAATAGTCATAGTGGCCCCTAGCTGTAACAGGAAATGTCATGTTTTACATGTTGGTGTCCTGCAGCTAGCCAGTTCACACGATTCATGGTAAATTTGGTCTGGAGAGTCTAAATAAGTTGATGATGCCATAAAATCAAACTTGTGAGTTTTCATCAGGGGGTGTGTCCTTGGCATGTCTCACCAATTAGGTAAGAAAATAAAAAATTGGACCTACACAATGAAAAATTCTTATCAAGAGTAGTCCTGCATAACTTTTCTACATGCCTTTTCTTGTGAAAAATATTATATCACAGCTGCACCTGGGTATGGAAGCACAAACTGCCTAGGGATCTTTATTGTTCCGAGAAAATGGATACTCATCAGCTACCTCACCTCAAGGTTTTCTGATTTTGTGAAGCTCACTGCACAGTACCCTGGCTTTAATGTAACAGTATTGTTGCATACATGTCAATAAATCTTATATTGGTGCCGTAGACAGTGGGGTTCATCTGTTGTATAAAAAGGCCATAATGTTGGCATTGCTCCCTCTTTTTTGTTTTGGTGAGGAGTCTCGCTGCTGCATTTTGCATAAGCATAAGCTAATTCTTCTCACTCTGACAGGTGTATAGTGTGTTACAAATAGTCTAATCAAGAGAAACTAAAAGCATATATCACAATCTCAAGATTACTCCTGGAGCATGAAGAGTTGTCTGAGTTGTAGAAAACATCAGTGGACAACTGTGTTATTACATATTAATTATGGTACATTACAAGCAGAAAGGTCCTACCAATATTAATTTTTCTCTTGAAACATCAAATATATTCAATAGCAAAGAATGGTCTTGCATACTTAGGATTTGTTTGTGCGCCAACAAGCTAACCACTGCTACCATGATCAACCTTTGGCAAACATAAATTACCTGTAGGAATTTCTTCTGATTTTGACCAGTTGTCACTAAGACTCTAAATAACTGATTAGATTTCAGACGTCAAAGGTAAAGGTCCTGGTGACCTCATATGAAAATATGAAAAAACATGTATACTGAAACTGCACTAGTTGGCTGAGGTGTACTGCAGGACGGTTTTAGTTTCTGTAATGTTAGCTGCTTACAACTGCAACAGCAGCTGTTAACTTTTATTTTGGCTTTGCACATATTGCAATGGACATTTTTCTGTTACACATTTTTGAAATGGAAGTAATGGTGATATTTCTAGGAGTGGAGCCTGTGTCAGAGACTGCTGCTGTTTTAAGCTTACGTCTTGGAAGTCACAATTTACTTTTTTCATGAAACAAAGTGGGGCATTTGAAACCGTGAATATCAAACACAATCATGCAGTTTTATTTAATTTGATTTATTTTGCACCTGTGGCCCGCCACTGCAAATTGTTACTGCTGCTTCGATGTAAGAGCATATACACATTATATACCCGGTATCCCTGTACTGGGCTGTATTACCCTGCCGCCCCTGTCACTTAATATAATAAACACCAACACTAATCTGAGGTTATTAGGAAAGTTATAGTACTTGAAGTTTATTTTTTGTTTGCTTGATTCTCTCGAGAGTTCATGAGACATGTATTTAAAAACATTGAAAAAAAAGTCTGACATTTTGGCCGTACCGCCCCCCACTGCTAAATAGAATCCAAGAGAAAAGTCTGATTCAATGCCTGACAATTTTAAACACATTTTAAAAGTTTTCAAATGTTATTTTGGCTGATAAACACATGGACAGTTACAGTGGCACAGAGACTGTTCATAGATTATTGCCTTGATGGACCTGCTTCTCAAAGAGCCATAAGATTCAAATCAGAGTTTGTGTGTTTGTCTGTGTGTTCCTTCAGAAAGCGTATAAAAACTCTGGAGGCCCTCTTGGGTTTGATCCAAAACTCTTCTCACAATGATCCTCAGTCTGCAACACTACAGGAGGACATGGAGAAGCTTCGGGCCAAGTTCAGACAGGTACTCCACTTTTATTGATTAGTGACACTGGTCCTCCCTTCAGAAAGTTTTAAGAGTACCAGTTAAATTGATATTATTTTTCCATCTTAAATTTGTTACTGATTAATGCTTTGTTAAATAGAGATGTACATTTTGAAGTAGCAATGTTCTGGTTTGTTTTAAAGGTTATAATATTAGATGTCCCACTTGCATCAGCATCTCAGACCAAAACAAAAGCCTCAGCCACACCTCCCACCTCTCTTTAGATCTCTCATAAAGATGTTGCCTGTACCAGAGTCCTGCACCAAGTTGGGTACCCGCAAAAAAGTAGTGTAATGGATACAAAACATATTCATATAAATTATACATACAAAACTCCAGAACAAGCTTATCAATTTGACTTGGCTAGCCCTGATTGATGGAAAGCCTGTTAATTGTGTCCTTTCACTTCATAATCCATTTCAAAAGAGTTAACACAGACTGAAAAAGAAGCACACTATCCAATTTGACACATTTTGATTGTGAAACACCCACAAAACATCAAACACCAGACCTTGTGGTGAAATTGATATATAAGTTCAAACAATCATCACACGATGAATAACAAAAAGATACAAGCTCTTAGGTCAGGCTTGATGTCATTTGGACTGTATGCCTGTGGGCATATGTCCCATCATTATAGTAGTTGCTAATAATGCAAGCAAACATATCACTTCGTGAATTGTATTTTTATACGATAATGGGTTTTGAATAAGCCTATCTGGCTTTGTTATTTGCCACAGTTTTACATTTCACTGTTTAAGTTTCTATAAACACCTTTTCCGTCAGAATCAATGTGCAAGCTTCCTCTGAGACATATGGTGCCCAGGGGCCTCATTTATAACTGTTGTGTACACATCTTTCAGACCCCATTTTGTGTGTATGTCACTTCTCACGCAAACTTTACAGGAGAATGTGCGCATTTCTATGCAAACTTTAACTCATGAGTACAAATATTTTGATGGGAAAGTGATGATGCAGACTTGAGGTGGTAATTTGAAGCCAGATCATTGATGCACCTCATCATTAACCAACAGTGTCATTAAAACCCAGTGTTAGCCATATCTACAAAAGGATCCCTGCGTCCAGTACTAATTTTCTCCGCACTACACCTCACCTCAGACTATCAGAGATCTGGCGAGCATGATGAGGAGTGGGTAACATTTTCAAATATAGGACAAGATTGTGAATATCACTTGTACATCTGAAGGTTTTCTGCACAATTTAGAATACCAACTACAAGTGGACAGCAGGTATTAGGGACATAACTTCTTTTGTGCACCTTATCGTCATCAAGTTTTTTGGCCTTGTAATCAATGATACAGGCCAAATTTGAGAGTATGCTGAGGCTAAACATAAATCTGACTGGCTACTGGCTTGTATGGCAGTAATATGACCATGTGGCCCACTCAGTAGATCAGACATCATTACCTCTATGCCTTGTTTTTATTGACATTTTCCCGATAAACATACAGAACAGTAGTACAGTTAACCCACAGCAGTGTGCAAACTGAAAGGAATATAAACATCTACTACATCGATGTAGTAGATGAATCGTTACACCCCTAATTAAAAGGCATATATATATATATATAAATATAAGTGGTTCAGGTTGGAATAGTCCACAGATCACAAAATCCAGAATAAGAAAACAATAAGAAAAAACAAAAAAGAAGAAGAAAAGAGAGTCCTAAAACCCTATGCTGATCTCCCCTCAAACTGAAGATCACAGTAACCTCCTTTAAACTAAGGAAGTAAAGGCACACCAGGCTGCTTAGCTTTAGGAAAACCACTGAGCTAACTAGAACCTGCAGAACATATTTGGTCAGATTTTTAAGGCTTGAAACAAAGTAATAATCAACTCAAAGCCTTATACCAGCAGCCAAAAAAAGTTACAATAACATCAGTCGTAACAACGACCGTAGGAGTAACAGCACCCTTCAGGAAGACATATTGCAAATCTGTGGCAGTAACAGCGATATCAAATTATGTCCCTCAGAAAGAGCATTAAACATTTATAATACTAAAAGTAGAAATATAACAGCCCAAAATGGATACTTGCATAGTTGTTGAACCTAACTACAGCATCAGAGAGCACTATTATATTTTTAAATATCAACAGCTGGAAATTAATAATGTCTCAAGATGTCATTGTCAGTTTATGACCCATGTGTTCCTCACCCATATTTAGATACTTGATACTTGTGTTTTTTTCCGAACACCTGGCTTCAACACTCGAAGTGTGAGTCTCAGGTCTGGTCTTAGGGTGGTAGTGACAATATGTGATGGGACTGTAAGCCGCTGCCCCACTTCCACCAACATTTCCCAGTCTCTGGCCTGCTCCAACTGGCCACTACTGGTCAGTGGAGGAGGCAGACTCTGTCCCTTTTTGGACTAATGTTGTCCTTTGAACTGCATTTGATGTTTTGGTTGGCAAGGCATTGGTAGTAGCTCTCTTTGTTTCTATTGTTGCTGCAAGGTATTGAGTACCTGGTTCTGCTCCATGTATACCTACCTTGATGGAGACTTATTTTACAACCAGTGAAGATGTGCCTTAGGGTAGCTGGAGTTGAGCATAGTGGGCAGGAGGGATCTTTGTTCAGCAACTGCTGTAGGTTGTTGGGTGAGTAAAGCAGGGTTTCCCGCAGCGCTTTATAGTTAAGGCGGGGGGCCTTGACAACAACGGCCCCCCGCCTTGACTACGTCCCCCCGAAATTAAATAAATAAATAAATATTCTGCATCCCCGCATGCATAGACAGTAGGTTAAAATAAGGCCGCATCGCAATGAGGCGGAATAGCGGCATCTGTAGGTTAAATATGTTAAGCCATCTATCATCTGCTGTAACTGCGAGGCAAGGCCAACACTTCTTTTATATCGGGAAAGAAGCTAAATCCGACAACCTCTATGAGACTTGAGATGCCGTGTCCATGCAGGTGGATGTTGCTCAGACATCTTGGGACTCCTAACCCCTTTTCTCACATAGGAGTTGATCATTCTCTCCATGTTCTCAATTCTTCTAAGGGGAACGTTGACTACTTCAAGTGGTCACATCAGTTGGGGTAACAGGCCAAACTGTAAGCAGCAGAGCTTTAGCCTGCCAGGAAGCATGGACTGGTCGATGTTCTTAAGGCTGCTGACATCCTGCTTCAGTTTCTGGACCTCCTCACAGTCTTTGAGGCTTGCATTATAGCATCATCCAAGGCTTTTTATAAGTTTCTCAGATACCATTGGAACAGGTTCTCTATTAGTGTAGAACTAGTGTTTTCATACTGTGTGTGTGTGTGTGTGTGTGTGTGTGTGTGTGTGTGTGTGT